CGAACTGCTTCCTGGGAGACGTAGTTCTGTTCCCCGGGCGCAAGAAATGCGGAGCAGCCGCGGGGATGGTCAGGCTGCGCGCCCCAGCTGCCCTCCCTTGCGGGCGCCCTTCGCAGAGAAGGCTGGGACTCCAGCCTCGTTTGGCAATTCCGTTAGGTCTGCGTAAGGCGGGTGGCGCCAAGCCCCTAAATGCCTCCCAGGATGACAAACCTGGTCCGGGCGTCAGGGGAGCACAGCGAGGCTGCAGCCCCCGCCGGCCACTAGCTGGCCACGGAGCCGCATGGAGGCCTCGGGTCCCTCCTCCGACGCGGACAGAGCACAGGAGTGTCCGCTCCCGTCGCGTGTTAGAGGGACACAGGCATTGCTGGCCCGCGCGGGGTGGCGCGATAGCCCCATCTCTAATGGGAACGACTGCGGTTTCCTTACACTCGTGTGCTAACCAAACTTGGCTTCAAGGCGCCACAAACCAATCGCCACCCGAGGCCCTCCTGGGTTGAAATTCCGGAGCGGCCACCGCCCCTGTGCAGGCCTGCGTTTCTGCAGCCGCCTCACTCATTCAACCCCTGCGCACCTGGGCACACGGGGCAGGAGGCAGAAGTCCTCCCTCCAGGCGCTCACAGCCCAGGGGCAGGAGGGAGGGGCAAGCCCCCACTGCAGTGGATGGAGACCGTAGGGACCCCGGGCACCTAACCCCGCCTGGGGCCAGCAGCCAAGGCAGGCGTCCTGAGGCCGGTGTCTGAGCTGAGTCTGGAGTGGGTATGGAAACAGCCAAACTAAAAGACACACAACCCAAACCACCACCACCACCACCACCAAAGGAAGGCAGAGAGCTGTCGGTGTGGAGGAAATGGTGAGGGCAGAAGAGAGGGAAGGGGGACTTGCTGAAGAGGGTTCCCTAAAGCACAATCAGTGTAATATAGGGAATTGTTACTATAATTATTACCATTGTTGTCGTCGCTGTTCCCACAGCAGGCAAATCCCAAAGAAGATACACAGATAAACAAGACACGGTCCCCGCCCTTGAAAGTTGACTCTTGAGAATTGCACTGTCCATAGCCAGGAGTCCACATGCGGCTCTTTAAATTTAATGAAAAGTAAATAAACTTTAAAATTCAATCCTTCAGCTGCACTGGCAACATTTTCAGTGCTCAGTAGAGACAGGGGTCTAGTGGCTGATGTTCGGACCGTGCCGGCGTGGGACATCCGGTCACTGCAGAAAGAGCCACTGGAGAGCTGCAGCCTGGGCACCACAGGGGGCTCGTGTCAAAATGCGGAATCTCAGGCTGCACCCGAGCATCAGAGTCTGCATCTCCTGATGCACTTTTTTTTAATTAATTTTGCAAGTGAGTATATGTATAACCAGTCACTTTTTAAAAAATCCTACTTTTAAAATCATCAAATCAACACCTCTTGGGCAGAATGTTTGCATTAAACAAATGTCTCATCCTGCAACATCATTTTTCCTATTCGCAACATGCTTTGGAGAATTTTCACAGATCTAGAAGTTGCAGGGAAATATATAGTCGCCCCTTATCCCTGGGAATACATCCGAGACCCCCAGTGGATGCCTGAAACCGCGGATAGTACAGAACCCTATATACACCGGGTTTTTTCCTACACATACGTACCTATGATAAAGTTTAATTTATAAATTAGGCACCGTAAGAGATTAACAGCAACAGCTAATAATAAAATAGAACAATTACAACAACACACTGGAATAAAAGTTATGTGAGTGGCATTGGGCCGTTATTAGGTGAAACAAGGGTGACTTGAGCACAAGCACTGTGAGACCGCGACAGTCGATCTGCGCACCCGGATGGCTACTAAGTGACTAACAGGCAGGGAGCACCTACAGCTTGGAGACGCCGGACCAAAGAGATGATTGACATCGCAGGAGGGATGGCGTGGAATGGAGCGAGGTTTATCACACCACTTAGAACGGCCAGCAACTGAAAACGGATGAGTTCTTTCTGGAATTTTCCACTTAGTATTTTCAGACCGCAGTTGACCGCAGTAGCTGAAGCCAGGGAAAGGGAGCGTGGGAGCAAGAGAGGCTCCAGGACGGCCTGCAGAAATCCTCTGACCCGGAGGCAAAGCAGCCAAGCCGAAGCCTGACCATAAGCCACACGTGGAGCGAATCTCCCAGATCGCAGGACATGCGTGACCATCTGCTGGTGGAAACACGCAGATGAGCTTGGTGCTGATGTCTAGAAATATCAGAGAGTGGTCTACGCAGGGAAGGCATGTTCCAGAAGTGAGAAGGGATGTCTACGGGCTCTCATGATAAACCCCAGGTTGCTGGGTTTCCTATGCTTGGTGCGGAGACGAAAATAGCTAAGAGGTGAACCCAGACAGATTTCAGTCAAAAAAATAAATAAATGAAATGCTATCATGTAATGGACGTGAGCGCTCCAGGGCCACCGGGAGGGGTCAGGGAGGGTCAGCCAGGCCGTTAGATTCCCAATGTGCCTGGTCACAGGTGAGCTTATAGTCTTCCTTGCCCAACATGCTCAGGCTCAATTATAAATGAGAACAAGGTTTCACTGAGCACTTGCTAATTGTTGGGCTCTGTGCCAAGCACTCAAGCGGTGAATGCTCACAGTGACCCTGAAAGCTGGGGGGTAAGATCCCTGCTGTCTCGCCAGCCAGGTAACTGAGAGCAAGGAGTCCGTGGCCACAGAGCCCTGCCGCTTTCTTCCTGCTTCCAACTCCTCCTCCGGGCTTTACCCAGTCCCCTCGGCCTCCTGGGCCTCTGGAGGGCTCCCTTATCTCACCTCTCCACAGCTCCTTTTTCTTGTGCAGCTGGGCCCCTGCCCTGCTGACCGATGGGGCCCCCATCCCTGCCCCCCAGACGTGGGACACACCCCAGGCTCCTCTGACTCTGAGCTGTCCCCTCGCCTCCCTCCTGTGACCCCTGTCCGCTTGCACACCCAACCCCACGCGCTGCTGGATGTTTGCACCTCGCCTCAACCCCGAGCCGTCTAAAACGCATCTTCACCTGCACGCAGTCGATGCCCCGCCCCGTGTTCCCTGGCCTCCAAGTTCCCCTGCAGCCCATGGACCATTCTAGAAAGTGCCTCTTTCTCCCTCAGCCAGCTCTGGCTCCTTTTTGTTCCCTCTTTTGTACCCGGGGCTTGTTCAGCTCCTCGCGGGAGCACCTCAGTAGTGCCAAGGGCTTAGTCCCCCAAGGATAGCCCTCAGGCAATGAAGGAAGGGAGTCGTCCAATAAACACCCCATCTTTTCCTTCCTTCTTCTGGTGTGTATGGCGGGGGACCTGAGCTTGGCATTTGCGCAGGGCTCCTCGGGGAGTTAACAGGAAGCCCTCCCAGGTTTTGCAAGAAGCTTCAGAATGCAAATATTCTTAAAAACCTAGGTGCAGCCCTCCCTTCTCTCCTGAGTCATTTCTTTCATTCCAGGGAGCAGGTCAGCCGGGTGGGAGATGGGATTGACCCGGGCTGGGAAAACGCCTGGGCCCCACCCCAGCCCTCCTCCCTCCGCCCCCAGCAAGGAGGTGGCCCCCTTGAACACTGAGGCTTTGTTTGCGGGACATTGGGACCGTCTGAAACCAGCCTCCGCACTTACCTCGCCCCACACTGAGAGTGCCGTCTCCTCTCCTTCACTGAAGGGTTGCGAGGGCAGGAGGGGAGTGGGGGGAGAGGGGCAGAAAGGAGGCTCAGCCAGGCCCATGTGCATCCAAGCCTGTCCCCCCGCCCCGTGAGGTGGAGCCCACTGTCACCCTACCTCCCTTTCAGGTGAGAAAACTGGCTTAGAGGGGCTGAAGGACTTGACCGAGGTCATGTGGCAGGTAAATCCTGAACTTCGTCCAGTTAATCTGACTGTACAACCTGTGGGTTTTCCCTTGACATCCCCTGCGTCCCGGCAGGCCGGCCTCAGACCAGCTGAAGGGATGGGCTCCACTAGAGAAATCCCACATGCAAGGAAGGAGCGGGCCCAGGCGGGCAGGGAGGGGTCGCATTCCATGGCTTTACCGCTCGAAACGACACTGG